CGATCACCGATCATGCACTTTTTCACGAAAATCGGCCCGATTATGATCGGTGACCGATCAATCGGCACACCTCTAGTTTCCACCCTTCATAAGGAGACAGAAGCCCAATTTCAAGGCGTCAGATACCTTGAAAGTCAAATTTCTTTTAAGTCACGTTTAATATATACAGTACTTTTATAACTGGAGCAGCTCCTCCAGTGTCACCATGCTCCTCTGCTTCACTGATTATTGCTCTGCTTGCTGTCAGTTTATTTTACATTTACTGATTTAGTGGCTTCTGAAGGCAGGTGGGCACTTGATGCAAATTTTTTGTTTCACACCTTTTTTTATTGTTTGTAAGAAAATGCATCCTTCTCCCTCCTGGTCACTGCCTTGCTCCACTTACTGTGGGTCTCCCACACCACAGACTAATAAATACATGGATATTTGTGGCTGTGTGAATATTATAAACAGTCTTTTAAGGCACTAAAAGATTGCTTTGTAATTTCTGTATGAAGCTGTTGTTTCTTGGATTTAACTGAACTTCGACGTACCTAGCCGAAAAAAAGTAGAACATTTTTGTTTGTGCATAATAACAAATGAAATTCAGGGGGTTTGATTGTTCTTAAATTGACTAAATTTGGCATAATGTTTCATATTGCAGGGACTTTTGCAACCGACATCCACTGATTTCTGGACATACAATGTTGTCACGGTGAGAAACAAGCAGAACTGTTCATATGTTGTAAGAATTATGCAGAATACATTTTGTGTAAGAAATCAGCAATGTTGATATAAATCTCACTCTCCCTCATGTTTTCTTTGCTTCTTTGTCCTTTTTTGCTTTTGTTTCAGAGTCTTGGATGTCATGGATAAGTGGCCGGAGAGAGTTAAATCCCGAAATCCAGAGCAGTTACACTGAGATTCCTCCAAACAAAAGACATCATGGAGATGAGAATAGTTCAGACGTAGGCCTGAACTCAGCAGAACCCCATCTGAACAGACATCAGATAGTTTTACCGAGGTCCTGATATCCGTTTCTTTGCAGCAATCTGAGTGTTTTTGCACTTCAGAGCTAGACATAGAAAGCAAGTAATGAATGATGCTGGCCATGGTGACTTAGTGTAAATGGCTATTAATCAGCACAGCTCAGTGACAGTATTCACTGCTCAATCTTCCTGCCCCTCTCAGTTCTCCTCTCGCTCCCTCTCCCCGTCGCTGCCCTTGTCCGTTTGGATTCGCTACCACCTCCTGACCTGTCCGACCTCCTTCCCACATCACCATGGCCACCGGCCTGGGGATTTTGAAGCTGCTGCGAGGGGTCCGCCAGCTGGAGCTTCACCGCCTGATTCTGGCATTGATAGTCTTCTGCCTGCTCTCCATGGCACTCTTGGCTTACTACGTCTCCAACAGCCCCAAAATCAAGGACTCACCACCTTTACCCTTCAGTGATTGTGGTGGAGGTGGGGGGACGCTGCTGGGGATGGGTACTGGGGCCGACGGTGGCGAGACGGGAGGCCAGAGGTCCCCTCTCTTCCTTCCAGTGCGCCAGGGGCGACTCCAGGAGGTCAAGACGATTGACAACTCCAGGACGGAGCCAGTGGTTCTGGTGTTTGTGGAGAGCATCTATTCCCAACTGGGCCAAGAAATCGTTGCCATCTTAGAATCGAGCCGCTTCCACTACCGCACAGAGATTGCTCCTGCTAAGAGTGACATGCCCACGCTGACGGAGCACAACCGTGGACGATACGCCTTGATCATCTATGAAAACGTGCTGAAATATGTCAACCTCGACGCGTGGAACCGAGACTTGCTGGACAAGTACTGTGCCGAGTACGGAGTGGGCGTCATTGGTTTCTTCAAAGCAACTGAGAACTCGCTTCATAGTGCACAACTCAAAGGTTTCCCCCTCTTTCTACACTCGCACCTCGGACTCAGGGACTACCGTATAAGCCCCAGTGCGCCGCTGCTTTACATCACCAAGCCCAATCAGGTGGAGCAGGGCTCTTTGCCGGGGGATGATTGGACGATTTTCCTGTCTAACCACTCTACATATGAACCAGTTCTTTTAGCCACCCCTAAGTCCTCAGATCCCCTGGCACATTTTGGACCTGGCCCCTTGCAGGCCCTCTATTCCACCGTGGTGCAGGACCTGGGGCTCCATGATGGCATCCAGAGAGTTCTCTTTGGAAATAATCTCAATTACTGGCTTCATAAGCTGGTGTTCGTAGACGCCATCGGCTACCTGACGGGGAAAAGACTGTGTTTGTCATTGGACCGCCACATCCTGGTGGACGTGGATGATATTTTTGTGGGCAAGGAGGGGACTCGTATGAAGGTGTCTGATGTGGAGGTGAGACATTTACCCTGTGTCCCATATTAGCACGCTGATGTTCTGTTCGTTTATCTTGAAAATGTGACTGAGTCTGGTAGATTTAGCCGTATAAGTGAAGATTAAAAGATATTTCTTAAACATTTCTTTTTTTTTTTTTGCAATAATTCTAGTTGAGCAATTTGCAGAATTTTTCTAAAATGATATTGAAAAATATACTTTTTAAATTCTACATATTTATGTAGAATGTTTCAAGAAACATCTACAGGATGTTTCTTGAAACTGCCATTCTGTGTTGACCAGCGATGCAACACAGAATTGACTCAATCAACTTAGGATTGTTTGTGGATTAACGCTTTAATAGATTAAAATTACTTCCAGTTGATTAACTAATAACTTCCACTTGGACCTTTATTTTCAGTGTTGTAGTTTTACTATCTGATAAGATTAACTAATCACTCAATAACTTGCATCCCTAACGTTGACAGTTGCCATTGCTGATTCTTTTCTCAACTTCATGTGTGTCAAATCTATATTGCCAAGATCTTGATGAAATAAGAAACTAGATGCTAGCTGAGTTGGGATCGCATTGATTGTGGTTTTCATAGTTCTTTTTGTGGTAAGTGAGTTTTTTTCTGTATTTGGTTCCAGTTTTAGGAGATCAATGTTACTAGCTCTGATTGGTTCCCCAGAAACCGCTCCATGTCAGCTTTATGAAAACCGCTGGCAAATTCACCAACCTCCATTCTCTTTGCTCTGACAACCGAGTGAAGAATTGGTTGCACTTCCCTTTTCCTTCCCCTTCACATGCTGCTTTTGAACCCAGCAGTGATTTAGAGGTTATCTCTGTCAGCAGGTCTGACTGACGATTTCAAAAATACTGCTGTTGGCATCAGTTTTGTAAATGTGACAGAATCTTCAGCCAGTGTGACTGAATCATTCCTGCAAAAAAAAGAAGAAAAAAACAACTCTCAAATGTACTTTTATTGAAATGAGGTCCAATGTTAAGAATGCAAAATGACAAAGATGTTGGCTTCCAATTTTCCTCACCTGTAAATGGTGCTCATTAAAAATGTATTTCTATAATAAACCTTTGTTTCTCACAAGTTATTTGGGCTTTGCTTAGTTTTCTCTGGTTTTTCGCAGGCCTTGCTGAACACTCAAAATAAGCTAAGAGCGCTGGTTCCTAATTTCACCTTCAATCTGGGATTTTCCGGAAAATTCTACCACACAGGTACTAAACATTGTAAGATTAAATCGACCCTTTTCCTCTTTAATGATTCATGTCGCTCTGAGTTTTGTAGAATCTGACTGCAAGTTAGAGGAGACCATAAAATTTTTTGGTTTATATGTGGGTGTTTCCAGGAACCGATGAGGAGGACCAGGGAGACGACATGCTGCTGCAGCACAGGAAGGACTTCTGGTGGTTCCCTCACATGTGGAGCCACATGCAGCCTCACCTCTTTCACAATGTCAGCGTCCTGGCTGAGCAAATGAAGCTCAACAGGATCTTTGCTCAGGTAACAGGAGACTCAGATGGAGGATGTTTGTTAAACAAACTGTTCAGTAACGGAGAAACGCCGGACAATGTTGGGTC